GAGTGTCAAGCAAGAGTGTCGTGTCAAGAGTGTCCAGCAAGAGTGTCAAGCAAGAGTGTCCGCAGGGCTGGGGAGGTGCTGGCGCTGCTTTAGTTAGTTGTTTTGTGTAAAAGCCCTGGGCGGCACAGCAGTTCTAGGGCGCCGCACTGTTTTACTTGAGCCAAAATAAACGTAAGCGCTACGTGTGAGAAATGCTATGTACTAAACGTTCACGTGTCACTTAACTCCCCCCTCATTATTTCGAGCGGCGAGCGGACGGAACGTACACAGCAAACTATGTGGAAGCAGCAGGTCGGACACTCAGAAGTTGCAGTAGGCGTTCCCAAGCATTGGGCTGAATGACCTTTGTCAAGGCGTCAGCTGCTTGAAGATCTGTACTGCAATACTCAGCGATCATATCTTGAGCTTTGATGGTTTCAGCCAAACTGGCGACATCGATGCGGTGGGTTCTTGAAGCGTGTCTAAGCTTCACCGAGAAGCCACTCTTCAAGATTGCTAGTGTTGCTGAGTTGTCTTCTTTGAGCTTCATCGTGACCTTCCTGTCTACAAGTTGTTCTAGAAAATCAAGCAATGGCTGTCCTTCGGAGTATACAGCACTTGCCATGGAGATGATCTCAGCCTCAGTTGTCGATCTTGCTACCGACGACTGGCGTCGCGAGTTCCATGCGATTGGCCAGCGTGAGGATCCTGATTCCAAGATTATCATCATGCCAGAGGTAGAGCGTAGGACACCAACCTCTGAAGATGAACATCTTCAGCGCGTGTCCACACTGTGATTCTGCTTGCCAGCCTTCCGATTGAGTATGAAATATCTGGTCTAGCCAGTCGGGCCAGCCAGAGTCCTTTCATCAGTACTTTGGCCGCATGCGGCTTCATAGGTCCTGCGTTTTCATACATCTCATCTGCGAGACCACTATCACTGATGTGAGGCGTGGCCACGCGACGGAGTGATTTGACATCCAATCCTGTGATGTCAAGGTATAGATCCACGAATTGCTCAGCATAACCAACCATGGACATTTTAACTGTTCGTGGCGTCTCAAGTTCGTGCAGTCTACCAAGAATGAGTACCGATTTATCAGAAGATAGCATTTGTGGGTCTTCAATTTTGATGAGCTCACTGAGTTGGTCCCAAAATCGCTTGTGAAGATGAGATGCCCCTGACAACGTCAAGTCGTCAACATAAACATTTAGTATCATACGATGCCTGTTGATGTTGAAAATGAATTTGCTGGGAAAACCCGCTACTGGTGTACCCCCTAGCTTGGCAATACGTGTCTCAAGATACTCCTGCCAAAGGCGTCCTGCACGAGGGTGCCCATAAAGGGACTTGCGGAGTCTGACTGCAGACTGCAACCCTTCCGTGGAACTTGGTTTTCCATGAGCTCATCCACAGCTGCTTGGGTAGTATGACGAACGTTGGCTCATCTTCTGGGAGATAGCTTTGCAAAAACGCTTGTACAGCGTCTGCTGTAGACGTGGCGTGTCCATCCAAAGCACCCCACCAGAGACACATGTTGAGCGCTATGATTGTGGTGGGCGATGTGGACACCTCGGTGAAGAGGACTATGTCCCCATTTTGAGTCATGACTTTGTCCCCTCGGTATACTATCCTTCCTTTGTATTTTTGTTTGGACTCATCTAGTTCGGCGTGCTTAATGCCGCAAAGGATGAGGAGCTCAGCCACTTTGACGTCTTTGGACAGGATTTTGGACTGCCGCGTGAGCTCATCTGCATCGCAGGCGGTCTCGTCATCCCATGTCTGGTTTGACCTGAGTCCATCACTTTCCTTTCTGATGGCCTCTAAGGCTTTTGGATTTGAAAGCCATTCATTTCTGCTGAGGGCTTTTGTGACAAGACCAAACATCAACACAAAGGCGTCTTCAGAATCAACAAGGTTGTCTTGTATATGGGTTGTCTTGACTGACATTGCTGGGACGCGTTGTGTGTAAAACTGTTTTGGGTAAAGCGCTTCGGCAATGAGTGACACAAATGGAACGGTGTAGTACGCTGTTCTTGCAGCATTGCCGCCTTCACATGGTTCATGCTGATTCGGGCTGTGATTACACTGCATTTCAGCGAACAGCTCTACAACTCGACGGTCGTTGGTTGCCAACGTCCATGGCTTCTTCAACCATTTGTTCTG